CCGCTGATCAGCCGCTGCCCTCGATCTGAGCTCTGCCGCGGCTGGGTGGGGATGGGGGGTGAAGCCAGCCCTACCTTCATCTTTGTGGTGGCCTTGGCTCTGGCAAACCCCAGCCTTGGCTGTCACCGTGACGTGCCAGGGCGCTGGCGGCTCTGGGGGGCGTTGGGGCAGTGTTTCTGCTATGGGGCTTGCGAGCTGGGGAGCCCAGGTGCCTGGGTGGCGTCTGGGCTGGTTTGCGGTCTGGGCTCTCTCTGCCGGGCTTTGAATACGACTCCGGGGATCTTTTGCTTCCTTGAGCCCTACAGAGTGTTCATACCAGCGTGCAAAGCGGCCTTTAAGAGGCCCCGGGTTCTGCTCGTCTGCCCGGCTGGGGAGGGAAAGCAGAGCCGGCCTAGCGTGGTGGCGAGGTGCTCGGTGTGGGCGTTGAGGGCTGACACCGCCCGTTTCCCTCTGTCCTGCAGGCTAGCAGGAACAGCAGCCTGGTGGGGTCCATCTCGGCTAGACGCGGATGATGCCAGAGCTATGACAGGGATTGCAGTCTTGGCACTGAGGGGTGATCAATTATGGAACAACTACAGGAGGAAGTACCTGAGGTCAAGGAAGAGGAGGAGGAAGAGGCAGTGAGGGTGGCAAGCGGAGCCTCGGACCCAAGTGGAGGACCAGACAGCTCGCTGCCTTCCAGCAGCTACACAGGTGAGTGGAGCCATAGGAGCTCGTCTGTCCCTGCAGCATCCAGGCATCCACATCCCCTGGGCAGCGTGCTCAGCTGCAGGGGCAGAGGGGGCCTGCCCGTGCGTGGAGTTGGGCTTGTTTTAATCTCTTCCCTTTGTGAAATCATGCGCTGAGAGCCGAGTTACGGAGAGGCTTATTTCTTCCTCTGCAGCCGTTGGCAGTGGGTTGGGAGATGGAAACTAAAAGGACAGGCCAGGAACGTTGTGCCCAGAGCGAGGGGACTCCCAGGGTGCCTGAGAATGCTTCCCTGGCCCCATCTTGAAGTCCTCAGTGCAAACTGATTGTAGGAGCTGGGGGAGAAGGTTTGTTGCTGCTGCAGAGGCTCCTCCAGAGCCCCGGGCGCTGCAGCTGGGCACCCTGTGCCAGCCACCTGCCAACTGGGGATTATAAAATTTGCTGGTTGGATTTCATTGCCTAGACATGAATGCCAGAGGGGAGAAGTCAGCATTGATGTGGAGCCTCTCAGCTGCTGGGGGCACTCTTGGCTCTGTGCATGGCATCTGCCTGCAGCCAGGGCCTGATCTCAGAGGTTAACTGCCCAGATGCGATGCCAGCGGCAGGCTGGGACGGTGCTGGAAGTCCCTCCTCAGCCCCACGGCTGGGGGAGTTGGACACAAAAGGGCTCGCGGCTGCTGCGCGCAAGGACAGAGCCCTTTCTGTGCCCGCAGACCTTTCGCAGAGCTCCTCTCCCTCCCTGTCGGACCAACTGCAGATGGGCTGCGAGGAGGCGGCCTTGGGAGCGCTGAACGTGGAGTGCAGGGTCTGCGGAGACAAAGCCTCGGGGTTTCACTACGGCGTGCACGCCTGCGAGGGCTGCAAGGTACGTACGGGCTGGCTGCGGCAGCGCTAAGCAGAGATTAGACCCCAGGGACCGTCCCGTCTCTTTGGACAAGCACATTTGCAGCAAAACAGGGATGTGGGATTGAGTGATGGTGAAAAACGCTCGTTTGCAACTTGTCCAGAGAGGGTGGGGAGCCCAGGCAGGCGCACAAATGCTGTCCTGGGGGAGGCAGCTGAGATGCCTATGGCCCAAATCTTGCCCCGTCAGGCTTTACTTTCTAAGGCAAACCCATCTGTCTCCACGGGGACCCTGGCTTTGCCACTGAAGATGCTTTCTGTGCTGCAGATCAGCAGTGAGCTGAGTGTTCACCCCCCTGGGATCACTGGCCGCATGATTTGCGTCTGAAATTCTTTCCCCTGCGGCAGATGCCAGCGGGGCTGCGTTATCAGCCCAAGTCCTGCCAGAGATTCCTGCAGGCTGGGGCCGGCCCGCAGCTTGTTCCTCCATCCCTCTCTGCTGGCTGCCTGCAGTATCACACACGCGGTGTCCAGCCCCAGACCGTGGGCTGCCCTCCACGGTTCCTCCTCTGCAGCCCCCTGCTCCCACCCCACGACCTCTCCTTGAGAGAGAGACTCTGCTTGTGTCAAAGGGACCCAGGGCTCCTCCTCCCCACCCGGCTGAACCTCCGTGAGGCTCCTGGGGATACCAAACCAGCCCAGTCCCAAACCACAGGTGCTAACACCGCTGTTCCCTTGTCCCCCTGCTCCGCGTCCCCCTCTGTGCCACCTGCCTGCAGGGCTTCTTCCGCCGGACGATCCGCATGAAGCTGGAGTATGAGAAGTGCGAGAGGAGCTGCAAGATTCAGAAGAAGAACCGGAACAAGTGCCAGTACTGCCGCTTCCAGAAATGCCTCTCGCTGGGCATGTCCCACAACGGTGGGTGTCACCGCTGTCCGCAGGCCTGGCCGGCTGGGTGCCGCGGGGCCCTCTGCCCTTCTGTGGAGGCTTCGCACAGGGAGGCTGCATGTAGCTTGCTTTGTCCTGGGGCTCTCTTCTTGCTAGGGGGGTCATCTTTCAAGCCCAACGCTTTGAGCCTTTGACTCTTCATCCCCTTCTTCTGTACGAGAAGGGGTTTTCATTCCCACCGTGCAGGCTGGCCGTCGGCACGTGGCCGTCCCAGGGGGGACTGGGCACCCAGATTGCTCTTCTGTGCTGGGGTTCTTAAACTTCAGGTGTAACCATCTTGTTCCTGGCCAAGCAAAGGTGTTTGTGTGGGCAGCAGGGTTTGTGCGAGAGCCCAGAGGGAGTGGGGATGGCAGCTCGGTGGGAGGCTGTGTGCGCAAGGGTCGCAGTAGCGGCTGGTTCCTGAAGGTGTCGATGCTGGAGGAGCTGCAGCCCTGGAGAAGCCTCGTGTAGCATAGCTGCCGGTGTTCACCACCAGACCTGCTGCCTCCCTGGACGTGTCTCCTGGGGTCATCCCCAGTGTCCTGACCTGCCAGTTTTGTGTCGTCCCCCCCCACAGCGATCCGCTTCGGCCGCATGCCGGAGGCAGAGAAGAGGAAGCTGGTGGCGGGGCTGACGGCGAGCGAGATCAGCTGCCAGAACCCGCAGGTGGCCGACCTCAAAGCTTTCTCCAAGCACATCTACAACGCCTACCTGAAAAACTTCAACATGACCAAAAAGAAGGCGAGAGGTATCTTGACCGGGAAGGCCAGCAGCACCCCAGTAAGTTCCCAGGGCAGGCGGGGTTGGCCATGAAACGACATGGCGGGGCTGTTCTCTGGGAGATCGCCCTCCTGCTGTAGCTGTTCCACGTGCACCGGTTCCCAGCTGCAGCCGGGTGGGCTCTACACGTCCTGCCCGTTGCTGGGAAAATTCCCATTGCTCGGCAGACTTGTGCTGCTGTGGGTGGGTGCCTGTCAGCCCCAGTGGGGGGAGAACAGCGACGGGACAGGCGGACAAATGCGAGTGTCCTTGGCAGAGCTGGTATCTCGAGTCCCCGCAGCAGGTTCCTAAGTGCTTCCTTCTTTTTCAAGCAGCCTTTTGTGATCCATGACATGGACACCTTGTGGCAGGCGGAAAAGGGACTGGTGTGGAAGCAGCTAGTGAACGGCATTCCCCCCTACAAGGAGATCGGGGTGCACGTCTTCTACCGCTGCCAGTGCACCACGGTGGAGACTGTGCGGGAGCTCACCGAGTTCGCCAAGAGCATCCCCAGCTTCATAGGCCTCTACTTGAACGACCAAGTGACTCTGCTGAAGTACGGGGTGCACGAGGCCATCTTCGCCATGCTGGCCTCCATCATGAACAAGGACGGGCTGTTGGTGGCCAACGGGAACGGCTTCGTGACCCGCGAGTTCCTGCGTAGCCTGCGCAAGCCCTTCAACGAGATCATGGAGCCCAAATTTGAGTTTGCCGTGAAATTCAACGCGCTGGAGCTGGACGACAGTGACCTGTCTCTGTTTGTGGCCGCCATTATCCTGTGCGGAGGTGAGCGGGCGCTTTTGGCCAGGCGAGTGTCAGGAGGAGTCCTCTCGTACTTGGAGGTGGTTTGGGGTGGGCTGGGGGCGCTGAGCTGCGGCTGGCCCTGAGATCACCCAGGGGTGTCCTAGGGGGACGAGAGAAGAAGTGAAACCAAAGCTGCCCTGTGGCAGTGACGCCTGGCGTGCTTGGACCAAGAATGAGGGTAGAAGTGGCTTCTCATATGCTGCTGTGGGCTGGGTTGTCCAAGGGCACACTTCTCCCTTGTCTAGTCGCCGAGGTTGGAGTCACGGTGGGTGGGTTACAGCCCCCATCTCCCTTTCCCCAGAAGGACCATGTGCTTTGGAGGGCTACACCCTAACACTGCAGCTACCGTGCTTCCTCTCCCCAGACCGTCCTGGCCTGATGAACGTGAAGCAGGTGGAGGAGATCCAGGACAACATCCTGCAAGCGCTGGAGTTTCACCTGCAGTCCAACCACCCGGATGCCCAGTACCTCTTCCCCAAGCTGCTGCAGAAGATGGCTGACCTGCGGCAGCTGGTGACGGAGCACGCCCAGCTGGTGCAGAAGATCAAGAAGACGGAGACAGAGACATCTCTGCACCCGCTTCTACAGGAGATCTACAAGGACATGTACTAAGGACCTGTTATTTATGAGAATGAAGCCATGGATTCCCATCAAGACTCTTTGTACAGAAACAAAGAAAACCTTGCCCCCTGTCTTCCATTTCTTCTACTGGAAACTCTTTTCTACGTGACCCTGACGTACGGTACATAGGGCAAGATGCCGTAAG